GTTGTGACGGTAGTGTTGGTTGTAACTATGGGGCCAACGCTGACGCCATTGGCAGAAGAAGAAGCAGCAGCAACAGCAATAGCAGTAGCAGCAGCAGCAGTAGCAGTAGCAGTAGCAGTAGCTGTAGCAGCAGCAGCAGCAGCAGCAGCAGCAGTAGCAGTAGCAGCAGCAGCAGCAGCAGCAGCAGCAGCAGTGGCAGTAGCAAGAGACAGGCATGCCAGCGTGATACAAAGGTGCATAAGCCAATGACTCATCGCGTGAGGGCATGAGGCAGAAGTCCGCACCTCAGGCTGACTTGGAAGCAAGCTGCTTGCGGGTGCTCTTCACTGAGCTTGCAAAGAGCAGAGGTACTGACCGAGTTTCATGTCCTTCAGAGCTTCAGGATCTCGCCTTGATGGCTCGTACGCTTGTCGCTGTTGTTGTTCCTGCAATTTGAAATGCTGACAAGAAACATGAACTGGATGTTCACATACAGTCGCCCCTGGTATTGTCCGTTCTCGTCCAGCTGCTGCAGCTTGGTGGCAGCATAGTGGCCAAACCCATCTCCAATGGGACCCACCAATATCAACTGCGCATCCACATGCTCTGACAGAAGCCATCCCGCAACATCTGCGATTAGGTCGACGCCCTTCTGGCGCACCAGTCGGCCTAATGAAACGAAGAGGCGCGCATTGGGGTTTTCTTGAAGACCAAACCTCCTTTGGATGCGATGCTTAGCTTCAGCTTTAGCTTGATTGATGTCTCCTTTCACAACGGCGCGCTCTTCTTCGAGCATTGGATTGTCCAAACCTTGTATGCTCGGCAATGGCCACAGAACGCCGTAGCTTGCGTGACACTCAGCTGCATACCACTGGGAGACTGCACAAACACCACGACCACCTTGCTTCTCTCGCACGAAATCGACAGCTGCTTTGAGCATGTTAAACCGCCCATCCAGAACCAGATGGTCCTCCACCATTCGCGGCGGCAAGTTGAACAGTGAGGCTATGGTGCTGAGCCTGGTACCAAAGATCATATCTGTGCTGATAGTTCCCTGATATTCAGCGTTGTGTAGCACAAGCAGCATTCGCAAGTCTGGATGCTCCGGCAACGCGTACCAGGGTGCGATAGCAGTGTGAAAATCTGGGCAATGAAAGACGCGAGGCTTGTGACGAGCCAGTAGAGCACCCACCGCTTGGTTCCACAGCGAAAAGAATCTCAGGACTGCTCGTCGCGACAGAGGATTTGGATAAATGCCTGGACGATGCTACTCTACTACAGCTAGAGTATGTTGAAGCTACAACTTCCAATTTTTGTGCTTGCAAGTTCTAGCTGTAACTCTAGTGACACAGTTGATATCTAACGTATTGAGCTGGCGCTGGCTTGTCATGTTGTTCTCGAAGCCTGCCTGATCGTGAAATGTTGCGAAGGCATCAATTTAAAACCTGTTTCGTCAACCGTGAACGACGAATTAAACATGGCTTGCTGCTGAGCTGCCATCTAGCGTCCGTGATTGGAAAATCTCATGCGATAACCTTGGTTCTTTGCATCTTGTTGCACAGCCGAGCCACTAGCTTACTCGGACACTTTGCCAAAGGAGAACCGCTCATAAGGAGCATCGCGAGCTGATGCGAGCTGTGCTGTTCAGGGTCCAGAGAGGCCAAGGCACATGAGGAATTCCACTCGAACATCTGTCGTGCCCGGATCCTGTGGTGGTACGAACCTATATACTCGGACGTTGCAATGCTCACCTCCGATCACGAGTCGGAGAGGCATTAGCTCTTCGTGCGGTTGCCCGTACTGCAGTTTTCCATCCTCTGGTTTCAGCATCGGATGAACCAGCAATATGTCGGATGGATGCTTCCTGGCAATGAGATCCACGACTTTTCCTAGTCCTCCTGCCGTTGCCCGACCTTTCGCCAAGTGCGGCAAGGAATGCTCCAAAGATGCCAGCATCACTGGAAAATGGCCGGGCCGCGTTTCCCGCGCGAATGTGCCCAAACGTATCGGATAATCTTGTGAAGCGTCTGCGTCCTCGTCATGCGCTACGAATTGCTGTTGTCCCCCGTCTGTATCTGTGCCGGATTGGCGGACTGTGCGTCTTCGACGAGTTAGAAGGAAATCCAGAAGCCAAAAGATGAACACTGGCACCGGCCACAGCAATGTGAGACAAATCGAATATGCAGGTACGGGTGGCGCATCGAGCATGGGCATCTTAGGCTCATCAGGCCAGCCATCGCCTCCGAGTCGCTCGAAGACATCGAGCATCTTCAGGACATCTTCTACTTTGAACTGCGGAAGCGAGGATGCCACGTACCCTGAAGGATCTGTTGAGCTGCAGTGCATGCACAGGCTGATGCTGCTAGCTTTCACTCGTTGCTGCCATGCATGACTTACTGCTGGTGCCAGATGAAGTGGGCTGTTGCAAGTACTTGTGACAATACGGCACTGACATGTCGTGCTTCTCCAACATGCTCGAAGACCACGAGCAGACTCTCAATTGCAGCGGACACTTTGAAGGCTGCAACGTTCACCAAGCTTCAAGACACTGATGGTGGACACCGTGGTGGACACCGTTGCTGCAATGCCTTTTGTCTAGTTTGCAGAGTGAAGACTTTGGTGCCAAACTGACATGCACCCTGCGTAGCTGTATCGAGGTAAGCTGAAGGATCCCGAAGGAATGTCCGCACGTGCCTTGACTTCGGTCTGCCAGCATGCAATTAAGACAAGTTTTTCCATCGTTGGATCTGCTACAGCACAGTCCGTGCAACCTGGCCCGGTGAAGCATGGGAAACCGAAGCTATATGGTGCATTGGACTGAACCAACAATGAAGAAGCCAATGGAGAGAAACGCTCTTTTGTAAAAACTAGGCGATTGCAGGGCTGAGCGTCTTTCTGCTCAGACCAAGCCGTCACTTTTTGTGTAGCTCACGAAGAAAGCCGGTCGATCGAGATAAGGTGCCGGTGAACTAACGCGGTGTGTCCTAGCGTCCTGGCTTGGCAGGTCCAAGTTCATGCCGATGCAGTGTAGCTGCAGATTTCACAGTTGAAACAGTGCCAGGCGGGAAAGAGTCTTACTAGCTACTAGCAGCAAGAAGATGCAAACGGTGCGGATCCCATGGAGGCACAAGGCATTTTTGCCCGTCAGGAATATGCAGGAATCAGAGCACATAACTCAAAAACGTGGGCCGAAGCCGGATGAAGCCGGGGTTTTTCGCGTGTTTCAACCAGCTTCAGCTGGTTATCGGCATACAAGACGACATCAGAGGACATGCAGTCCATCGGATATTGAATGCCGTTGGCACGGGCCTCGAGGTCGCCAAAGCCACTGGCGAGAGTGAAAGCACTAGAAGCAGGGCGGCGCCGACTGAAGCGATCGAGCGAAAGCGCGCATCGCCCAATCACTCCAGTTCAAGTAGATCTTCACAGCCCCAGACCGTACCGGTTCGTACAGTAGCAGGAACCGAAACTTTGCGTCATCGTCCTCTCGCGAAGACCTACACAAGGATAACCGGGAGGCGACCACTCTGTCGCCTCGTCGTTTAAAAACATCGTCGATGCCTACCAGGGCCTTCCTGACTTATCCTTGGAGCAATGCATGGTATTGCGTCTGCACATTCGCGAACAGGTCGGGTGCTGAAAGATTCTCCCAGCCCGTGCATACAACGTGCTTTATCGGCTGTGCGCAGAGGGCATATGATGCCACATGTACAGACGGGCTCCCTGTGAGCCCAGGCGAACTGGTTCTGATGATCTGGTGAAACAGGGTCTCAGAGACATTTATCAGAATGCCACACTGGTTGTGGGTTGAGCGGCCATGCCACCAATGAAGCTGGCAAGCTGAGAGTGAGACTGAAGTGGCAGACTTTCAAACGCGCGTCTGCAGATGCGCAAGTTCTCCCCTCCATCCAAATGTCTCACATCCAGCAAAGGCACCTGCCGAGTGGATCGAATGAGCTCCATGGCCCGCAGTACCTCTGCGAAGGGAGGGCATGCTGCGCCGTCCTGGCTGAAACCAGAAATTGTAAGAGTGGGATTTTCACAGGAGCCCATTTAATTTGCCAATTTCATCAGTGACAACTAATGGTACATCACGAGGACACTACAAAGTGATTGACCGTGCCGGCCAAGCTTCTCCGGGCAAGACCTCTGCACTGTGCAGAGCGACAGCACGGCGAAAGGCATGCTTCAGCTCCGTGTTGGTGCAGCGCGGGTCCACACCAAGAAGGGAATACGCCTTGTCGTTGCTACGGCAGCTTGATGCGCTTTTTGCTCTCGTTTATCGCTTGTCACTGCTTTTCAGTCAGACTCCGAACATTGGCAGCTGGTACATCTTCCGAATGTGCTGTTGCTTGCAGGGCTTCGGCTTTCGCCAGCCTTCAGAAGCTCGGGCCTCGTGTGACATGCGCCGAAAAGATCGCACAAGCAATTCCGGTCGGGTCGCTGCAGTCAGAGGTGCTCCACTGAGATGCTGGCTCGAAGGATGTGCGATCTCTCGAGTTTCCTTGCTTGCCATGTCGCAATCGAAGTGAGGATTTCTTTGGTCACATCATCACTGGCACGCAAACCCAGAAATTCCAAGAACTCCCGAGATCCGTCGCACCCTTGACTTTTCTCAACCTTACACGAACTATGACAAGGCTCTGCGTCTTGTCGAGCTACCGCCGCTGCTGCAGCGGCTGGTCCTTCGCTTCGTCGCCGTCTCCGAAGACAAAGACTGGAAACACAAGGCTGCCTCAGCAAACAGGTGGCAGAATCCACGAGGCCTTTCCAAGGTAGGGCCTCATGTGCCGCCCGGCATTTCACCTGGAGTGGAGGAAAGCTGTCGAATCCTCACATTGCACAAAAAGTCATGCCAGACCAAGTAAGGAAACACCACCACCGCCGCCACCGCCGCCCCCACCGCCACCACCATCCACCACCACCCACCACCCACCACCACCCACCACTCACCCACCACCACCCACCCACCACCCAC